GAGAGAGAGAGAGAGAGAGAGAGAGAGAGAAAGAGAGAGACAGAGAGAGAGAGAGAGAGAGAGAGAGAGAGAAGAGGGGAGGGGGTGGAACAGAGAAAGACAAACAGGTAGCCTTTGATTGTCAACGTTGTCAGTTATTGATGGTAGTCTGGTTGCACATGTTCGGTATAGATCTAACACTAACATCAAAGTATAGAAAAAGTAGACCTTTCTCGTGTAAAACTTAAGTACACTTGATTGAAGAAGTCTAAATGGGGAACAAACAGGGGCATCGACAACATGACAATGGGCCAAGCTTTCTTTCAGCTTTTATTTTGAGAAAGAAAAGAAAATCAGAGCAGTGGGCCAAGGAACGCTTTGACTTGTCAAAAGAAGATTGCTTTGTTGGACAGAGAATGACATTACAACAGCAATGTATTACAACCGTTTGTTGAAGTTGAAGCGATTTGTGTGTACAGTAGAACATGACTCAGACTGTGTAGCAGCACCCGCTATACCTTGCCGGAATCCCCTTTTTCTCCCTATGTAAACTCAATTACTTTTGCCTGGATGTGTGTGTGCGTGCGTCTGATAGTGAGCGTGTCATTATAAGACGACTTTCTGTTGTCGAGAAGACAGCCGTGGACCTCTTGGGCGGATAGTGTCATTGAAATACACGCAGGCCTAATAGGTTAGTTTTATTAGTGTAATATAAAGAGTCTAAAATGGCTGTAAGAGTTTTTAAAAAACAAAAAGAGGGCGGGGAGATATCAGGACGATAGACGTTTGATAGGAAAGAAGAAGCAATTACACCAGAGCATCCACCAACCACCCACATGTACGGTTAAGAGACCTGAGGTGAAAGCATGTATTGTACAATACGTAGGCCTACGCCTCGATCGAGATCGGTAAAAATGATTTCGCCGGTCCACAACATGTGCACATGTATTATGTTCTCGGAAATAATCGTTTTGTAAAACGCATAGAGGTTTGATAGGGGTCAATCTGTGTGAGGAGCCTACGTTTTATATATCATTACCACAAATCATATTATTTGATCTTCATTATATCATTATAACGAGCTGAGAGAGAGAGAGAGAGAGAG